GCCATCCTTACAATTGCTGCTACCACTGTGCCAATCCATCTCACTGGGTTTCCTCCTCTTTTCCACTTTCCCTCCATTTTACCAAGCATGATGTCCTACTCTAAGGGCTGGTCCCACCTGATATTATTTCTGAAGTATGAGAGACAAAGTCTGGCCATCACGGCTTCTAAGGAGCATTCTGGTTGTACTTCTTCCAACAAACACAGATTGATTTATTCTTCTGGCAGTCCATGGTAACTTTAATATTCTCCAACACCATAATTCAAATGCATCAATTCTATGGTCTTCCTCATTGATTGTGCAACTTTCACATACATGTGAGGCTATTAAAAATACCATGGCTTGGGTAGGCACACATTAGTCCTCAAACTGACATCTTTGCTCTTGAATGTTCTAAAGAGATCTTGTGCAGCAGATTTACTCAATGCAATAAGTCATTTGACTTCTTGACTGCTGCTTCCATGAGTGTTGATGGTGAATCCAAGCAAAATGAAGTCTTTGACAACTTCAATCTTTTCTCCATTTATGATGATGTTATTTACTGGTCCAGTCAGGAGGATTTTTGTTTTCTTCCAATGAGGTGCTGAAGGTTATGGTCTTTGATCTTCATCAGTAAGTATTTTAAGTCCTCTTCACTTTCAGCAAACAAGGTTGTATCATCTGCACATTGAAGGTTGCTAGTGAGCCTTCTTCTAATCCTGGTGCCGTGTTCTTCTTCATATAATCCAGTTTCTCTGATTGTTTGTTCAGCATACCATTTGAATAAGTATGGTGAGGCACAACTCAGAATGAGGAACAGCTGCAAACATCCATTGATAATTGGAACATGGAATATATGAAGTATGAATCTAGGGGACTGGAAGTTGTCAAGACTGAAATGGCTTTGATATGCATTTTCTTCTCTTGTGATTTTGTATTAAAATATGGCTTTTTTTCCTCCCTGCTAAAAATTTTGCTTTTTTTTTCAAAAAAAGCTATTATTAAATAAATTCCTTGTTTAAAAATAAATAAATAAATGAAATGTTGATACCCTAGGCATCAGTGAGCTGAAATGGACTGGTATTGGTCATTTTGAATCTGATAATCACATTGTTTATTATGCTGGGAATGACAAATTGCAGAGGAATGGCATCACGTTCCTCATCAAAAAGAACATTTAATAATCTGTCTTGAAGTATAATGCTGTCTGTGATAGGATAATATCCATACAACTACAAGGAAGACCAGTTACTACTATTATTTAAATCCACATTAATAGTCCAAAATATTTTTT